TCTGAGGCACGAGGATACTATGAGTTCAAGGCTAGCCTGAACTATACAGCAAAACACTGTCTCAAAAAAACAAGCAAAAAAGAAATAACAGCAGTAATGTAGCCCACTATTCTCAGAATATACAGCCAAGTGAAAGATTAAGAACAGAATAACACAAAAAATTTCACTTATGAATTTGAAAATGGGTTTATGGTTTATAATGCTGATTTCTTTTTCTTTTCCTTGTTTTTTTTTTTTTTTTTTTTTTTTTGGTGCCAGGTATCGAACTCACGACCTTGCACTTGCCAGCAGGCGTTGATACCGCCAAGCTATATTCCCAGTCCCTTTTCCTCCTTTTTTCAGACAGGGTCTTCCATACAGTTCAGGCCGACCTTGGGCTTACTTTGTAACCCAGGCTGGTCTTGAACTTGCAAACAATTCTCTTGCCTCAGCCTCCCAAGTGCTAGGATTACAGGAATAATTCCTTTTCAATATATGAAATGATACTGTTCAATATATAAATAATAATGTAAGAATCTTTTTTTTTTTTGTACCAGGGATTGAACTCACAACCTCACACTTGCCAGGCAGGTGCTTATGCAGCTGAGCTAAATCCCCAGCCCCTAATGTAAGAATCTTAAATATTCACAGAGTACATAGCTTTAGTAATAGATCACAAATTTATAATCTGACATTAATATATCCAGAGAAGATACTTAAGACAATGATGGCACATGCCTGGAATCCCAGCATTCTGGAGGGCTGAAACAAAAGGATGATAAATTCCAGCCTAGAAGGGGCTGGGGATTTAGCTCAGTGGCATAAGCACCTGCCTTGCAAGCAGGCAGTCGTGAGTTTGATCCCTGATACTGGTAAAAAGGAAAAAGACAAAAAAAAAAAAAAAATGTTAAAAAAAAAAATTCCAGCCTAGACAACTTAGTGACTTAGGAAAACCTTGTCTCAAAATAAAAAGTAAAAAACGCTGGGGTATAGCTCAGTGCTAAAGTCCTAGGTTCAAACCCTGGTACTACAAAAAAAAAAAAAAAAAAAAGAGAGAGAGAGAAAAATAAATTCAGAAGAAATAGTTTATGATGCAATTATATACAAAAAAAAAAAAAAAAAGCCAAGGGTTTAGCTCAGTGGCACAGAGCTTGCCTGTCAAGTGCAAGGTCATAAGTTACCAAAAAAGAAAAAAGAAAAAAAAAGTTCTTGATTTTTGTCTTTATCACAAATATATATTGAAGCATTTATGAGTGAAATGACAGAGTACCTAGAATCTGCTTTAAAATATGTCAAGTCTCCTAGGTGATGCATGGCTACAATCCCAGCAATAGGGAAAGTTGAGGCAGGAGGAAAACAAAACAAAGTTAGTCTCCTAAACTTATGCCCCAAAAACAGAAGTGTAGGGATCAGTTAAAGCTAGGACAGACAGAAAGACACAGAAAGACTACCCCCCACCCTTACTGCTATTTCACCTACTATTTAAGAGTGGGCCTGTTGGGTACATTGGGCCTTTTTAAAAGCGTGACTCATCTGTAAGCACAAAAAAAGAATGTCCCACATAACATATACCTTCAAAATAATGGATAAACTGCCTAAAGAAAAACTGTGAACTAGCATTGCATTAATACGCAGTGTTACTACAGCTTATCTGCAGATTTTGATTTGTTAGCATAGGATACATTAAACAAACTGAGAGTATAAACCAAAATTACCTAGAGGTAAATATACTTTTAATTAAATTCTGTAAGTGAACTACTATGCGACTTTGAACCACACTAGAGAAGCTTAAAATATCTGAATTTAAGGGGATGTAGCTCAGTCTACAGTACTTAGCATAAGCAAGGCTCTGACTTCAATCCATAGCACCCATAATCATTTTTTTTCTTTTAATTTAAGACTTAACCTAAATGGGCAGGCCTGTAATTCCAGCACTTAGGAGGCTGAGGCAGGAGGACCACTGTGATTTTGTGACCAGCCTGGGTTACAAAGTGAATTCCAGGCTAGCCCAAACTGCATAGTGAGACCTTGTCTCAAAAAGAAAAAAAAATTAATTTTTTTTAAAGACTTAACCTCACACTACATACCCACGTGGGGTTCCCCCCCACCCGGTTTTTTTGGTACCAGAGATCCAACTCACGACCTCACACCTGCTAGGCAGGCACTTGTACCACTGAAGTAAACCCTCCAGACCCATATAGTGTTGCTAAAATAAAAATGTACTTTGCTGTTTTCTGTTTTGGTTTTTTACTTTGTTTTGTTTTTTTGCAGTAAATCACACTGAGCTACATCTCCAACCTTTTTTATTTTTTTAAATGAGACAGAATCTCACTAAGTCAGGAAACTGCTCAAGCTAGGCTTCTAATTTTCCACCCTTGCTTCCCGGAGAGCTGAGACTACAGGCGCAAATCACCACACCATGCTATTTACTGCCTTTTAAATATTAACACACTGCCAGGCATAGAGGCACCCATTTGTGATCTCAGCACTTTGGAGGCTGAGTTAGGACCATTCACTGTTCTAGGCCAGCCTGGGTTTCACAGTGAGTTCAAAGCAGCCTGAACTACATAAGGTGACCCTTCCTCAAAAAAATCAAATAAGCAAACAAGTAAAAGAAAATACGAACTCACATACTCTAATCTTTCATAATTTTAATAGTAAGTACGCAAAGAACAATCTTTAAAAAAAAAAAACTTTCCTTGAATATATACCCAAAGGGATTAAGGAAAAACTTATGTCTACTTCTCCATCAAATATTTTTACTTACTGACTACCAAACACAAAACATATCCTATATATTTCTCTTCAAATATGCTTAGTTTACTTTGCAAGTTATGTTCTTTCATATATAAACCAATCATTTCCCAAAGTAAGTGCAACGAAATTTCCTTCTACATTTATAACTTCACCTCCTGAAGAGTAAATGTAGGTATTCATGTTCCTTTTTCAACATTTCCTTGTATACAGCTCTAATAGCTGGGCGTGGTGGCACATGCCTGTAATCCCAGCACACCAGGATGCTAGATCAGGAAGATTTAATTTTTTTTTTTTTTTTTTTTTTTTGCTGGGGACTGAACCAAGGCCTTTGCACGTGCTAGACAAAGGCTCTACCACTTGAGTTACAGCTGCACAAGCAAGATCCTATCTCAAACTGAAAAATAAAAAGAGCTGATGATATAGCTCAGTGTAAGGGTCCTGGATTCTATCACCAGTACTATCCCCCCAAAATTACCTACTAATTTAAACAGACTCCAAAATTACACAAACTAAAGTTATTTATGGGATGATGCAAGCTTCTACACACTTCTACTTACATCGCAAAGGACCATTCCTCCTGTTAAGTGGAGGACTGCAAAAACCTGAAGCCCAACCTGAAGAGGTCATTTTCGGCCACTTTCTCCACTACACCCTGTTTCTGCCACAATCCACTGTTTGGTCACCAATGCTAGGATCCTAATTTGAGGAAATAATATCTATTATATATCCTCAAAGATCAAATAGGTGTACAGTTCCAACACTTGCATTTGGGAGGCTAAGACAGGACAACGGTCATGAGTTGGAGCCCTGCCTGGGCTACACAGTGAGTTTAAGGTCAGCCTGGACTAACAGTAAGGCCCTGTCTCCAAAAAAAGCAGCAGCAGCAGCAGCAGTAGTAGTAGTAGTTTTACAGAATTAAGTATCTTAGCATTATCCTCTATAAGACTAGCTGAAGAACAGGGGCTGGGGATTTAGCTTAGCAGCATAAGCACCTGCCCTGCAAGGAGACGGTCGTGAGTTCGATCCCCAGTACCGATAAAAATAAAAAAGACTAGCTGAAGAATAAAGATAAAGAAGGAATTACTCTTCTGGTCAGTCTTCAAACTATACAGAAGTCACATAAAATCCCCCATTTCTGATGCCTCTGGAAACTTTCTCCTGATTGTGTATTTTTGCCCCTTCTGAATTCCTTTTGTATATAATAAAGAGCAAACATCACAGTGGGATGAAAGGGGAAACTGCCAAGAGTAGCAAATTGCTACAAAGTAGTGGTCTTCCCAATGCCAATTCTGATCATTCAATATGCCACATGATACCAAGCAGCAGGAGCTTCCTTCTACTTGTTAACCTCTGGAATTCTATAAACTTACACCTCTTAAAAAAGCATTCCCACCAGATTAGCTCCCAAACTTTGAGAGCTGTCAAATATATACTTAGGTTAACTGAATCACAATAAGTAACATCAAACAGATGTTGGACCAAGAGGGGCTGTTAAAATTATATTCAGACCTCAAATCCCACACCCGATCACACTGTACAGTATATGTATCATTACAGTTTCAAATCCTGCCCCAACTTTTCAAGCTTTAGAGCTCTAAGTCACTTGGAGTAATAACTTGAAAATGAGGTACACTACCAATTGATCAAAGGAAATGAAGGAAAAAAACATACATTCGTTTCCTCATTGGGTACATAACAGGGATTTGCGAATTACAAAAGAATGGAGGTAAAGACAATTAAATTCTGCTACTGACTACAATACACACCAGAACAGAGCCCGTGTTACCCACATAACCAGACATTATCTACTGTTAAAGAACGGGCCGGTCTTTCATAGTTTAAGTAACCAACCATTCTTCATGTTTCTTTATGGATTGCTACAAATTCTCCAGATTGAACCTGATAACAAAAATCCTAAACTGGCTTTCGGAGAGGAACCACTCTGCACAGAGCATCACACACAAAAGACAGGAGCAAACAGAAACACGCTCTGGGCCTTGGCGGATTGCGGCCAAGAGCCGAGGTCTTCATTCCAGACCCCCGGCAACAAGGAGAGAAAAAAAGGACTCAGAGTGGGGGTGGGGAAAGGTGGGGGTGGGGTTCCCCTCCTCGATTACGCCGGCAGGGAGGAGAAGAGAGAGAGGAGCTAGCGCAGCACAGAGGAAGCGAGAGAAGCGGCGGACCAGCATCGGCGGCTTCCAGGCCGGCGACACCCTCGGGCCCGCGCCAGGCCTGGCCCTCCCGGCCCTGTCGCCCCTCCTCACCTCCCTCACGTCCTGCAGACACTCGAGCACCGCCAGGTTGTTGCTCCAGGTGTGCTTGGGGCACACCCGGGTCACATCCTCCCTGCAGGACTCTTCCTCTGCCAGCTTCCAGCCCCCACCAGCCCCACCGGGCCCTGCTCCGCTCCGCCGGGCCGGAGGCCCACCCGCCGGGAAAAGCGGCTGTGGAGGCTGGGCCGCCTGTTGTTGCTGTTGTTGCTGTTGCTGTTGCTGCTGTTGTTGTTGCTGAAACTGCAATGACTGGGACAGCGACTGACCCACCGGGCCACCGCCTCCAGCCTGCCCGACGAAAGGCACAAAGTTGGCCCCTGGACCCTGGCCCTGGTTCTGGCTGTGGCTGCCCGGAGCTAAGATTTTCTGGGCCCCGACGGCCGCAAGCAGTAACGCTAGCTGCAGCGCCGCCGCCGAGCGGAACATTCTCCGTACACGTCCACACGCCGCCATCTTGGTTCCGCTGCGAGCTCGACGCACCCCGCCGGCGCCGCGTATTTAAATGAGGGGGCGGGGCCGGCGTGGCTCCCGCTGGGCCCCGCCCCCCGGCGCGGACCCTAGAGCCAGCAGCAGAGCGAGGGAGGAAGTCGCGCGCGCGGTGACCCAGTCCTGGCCCTGTCCGGCAGGGAAGCAGCGCTTCTTACCCTGGGCGTTGTTGAGTCCTCTTAGGAAACCTCAGTGGGAATAGCATGGTCAAATTCCCTTGGTTCTCGTCGCAGGAAAAAAAAAATCCAAAGAAATTAGGGTTGCCACTACCAAGATGGCCGGTGGACTTTGTCGCGGGTTCAATGACTTGGGGAGAAAAACTTCATGTGTGTAGCAAGTAAACTTACAGATGGTGGATATCTGCTTCCGTCCTACCACCCACCGCTGGAGCTAAATCCCCAGCCCCAGGACTCTGTCTTAAAAAAAAAAAAAATGTAACAGTGCTAAGGACCTAGGTTCCATCTCCAGTGCTAAAAAGAAAGTAACACAAACTGGCTGTTGAGGACTCCTGTGTGTGTCAGCAGGCATTTTTGCAGTCCTGCTTGCCTCATACTCAACAGCACCGTGGTACTACAGCAGAGGGTACACCGTGGTTCCCTCTAGCTTTGATGAGATGATGAGTTCTCAAAGCCTCTCCACAGCCATTGTGTCATGTCAGTCATGCATTTGACCTGAGTTAGATTCGCACCCAAATAGGGCACAGTAGAGATGTTAACTGCTCTGCCCAGGGCATTACAGCTTACCAGAATGAATTAGGCCAACCTGTAGAGGGCCTCCATCCTGAATCCCTGGCTCTTCCCCTACCCTGGTGCATTTTTATCTCACTCTTCCAATGCCACATGTTTGAGACCAATGGGAGCTGGTCACCATGTTCAGTAATGCAGTTCCTGCTATCCTGACCCACAAGTGGGCAGTCAAAACTAGATTGGAAGCCGGGGTTGGGGGGTAGTGGTACATAGGTGTAGTCCCAGCACTCAGGAGACTGAGGCATCTGAGTTTGAGGCTGGGCTACATAGTGAGTTCAAAGTCAGCCTAAACCACATAGCAAGACCCCATCTCATAAAAACAACCACTGTCCACCGAAAGAAAGAAAGAAACGGGGCTGGGGGTTTAGCTCAGCAGCATAAGCACCTGCCTTGCAAGCAGGTGGTCATGAGTTCAATCCCTGGTACCGATAAAAATGAAAAAGCCAAAAAAAAGAAAGAAAGAAAAGACTAGATAGGCTATAACTAGATCCTTAAAAACTGAGTGCAGGCTTAGGGACAACAAAAGGAGCCTCTGAGACAAAATATTCTATGGTTGCAACTTGGCCCCTGGGGCTAATCCATAAGAATGAGAGCCTGTTGACATCACCATCATTGGCCCTTACTTCTGCCACAGAACAATCCCAAAGTAGCACCCAGCCTTGAACATTGGTTAATGTAGGCTGGGGTGACCAAATAAATGTATATATTCAGTAGCAGACTGATGGCATAGATAATGTCAGACACCACCAGAAGTCCTTGAGAAGTCACAAAGGCCAATATTTTTTAACCGGGGATTGAACCCACAACAGCCTGCTTGCAAGGCAGGCGCTTATGCCGCTGAGCTAAATCCCCAGCCCCAGGGCCAATACTTTTCAATGCTGGATCCACTCAGATAATAAAATAGGAGATAATTTTTAGACAGTTTAAGGGTAGTGAAGCTGAGGGCATGGTCAGAGTAACCAGCAGTGCCTATCTTCCATCATGCAATAAGGAAATTGAATATCTAGCCACAGATTGGCGAGGGAAATAGGGAGAAGAGGCCTATCTTGAAATCACATTGACCAAAAAGCAGGAAATGAAGAAATCTGGGCACTTGGCCAGCTCAGGCTTGTTAGGCAAATCTAGAAGTTATAGTTCAGTAGTCATAGTTCAGTAGGGTGTTGTAGTGAACACCTATGATCTCAAAATTCTGGGATGCTGAGATAGGAGGATTGGAGGTTCAAACTCGACCTGAGCTGAGCATGAGGCCCCATGCCTGTAACCCCAGCACTTGGGAGACAGAGGCCAGCCTGGGCTACAAAGTGAGTTCAAGGACAGCCTGAACCGCATAGCAAATCCTTGTCTCAAAAAGACAAAAAAATGAAAACCAAAACCAACTCAACCTGAGCAATTTATGGTGATACTATCTCAGAAAAAACAGCCAGGTGTGGAGGCATGCACCTGTAATCTTAGCACTCGAACTTGAAAAGCTGGGCCAGAAGGATCACTGCAAATTCCAGGTTACCCGGTGCTGCATAGTGACTTCAAGACCAGCCTGAGCTACAGACCTGTCTCAAAAAATAAAAATAAATATATACAGGCTATAGATACAGCTCAATGCAAATGCTTTCTGGATTCAAGCTGCAGTAAAAACAAAACCTTTTTTTTTTTTTTTTTTTTTTTTGTCTTTTTGAGACAGGGTCTTGCTATGCAGTTCAGGCTGGCCTTGAGCTCACTATGTAGCCCAGGCTGGTCTCAAACTTGCAATGATCCTCCTGCTTCATCCTCCTGAATGCTGGGATTACAGGTGTGCATTACCACACCTGGCATCCAAAACCTTTTTTCAAAGTCATAGTTTCCCAAACCAATGGAAAGATAGCTGACCTAGTTAAGTCTCCTGCCTGCCTCAATGGCTTGATTTCTCTATTTTCTTTTCTCTCTCTCTCTCTGTCTCTCTGTCTCTCTCTCTCTCTCTCTCTCTCTCTCTCTCTCTCTCTCTCTCTGTCTCTCTCTCTCTCTCTCTCTCCCCTCTCATATGTATATAGTGTTGAGCAGGTTGTTTAGGATGGCCTAGACCTGACAACAGCCTGAGGGGTGGGTGATATGAGAAGGACAGTCCACACTGAGTTTTGGCCTCTATGTTTTCTCTTGCATGGATGGCCTGCCCTCACACTGTAGGACAGTGATGGTGCACTTTTTAGCAACCCCAAATGTGGGGAATCACCTGGATGACTCTCCCTGACTTTCCTTGAAAGGAAGAGCAACTGTCTCCATTTTGACAGATCCTTTTTTTTTTTTTTTTATCGGTACTGGGGATCAAACTCATGACCGCCTGCTTGCAAGGCAGGTACTTATGCCGCTGAGCTAAATCCCCAGCCCCTACTATCTCCATTTTGGATAAACTTGACCCTGTCTACATGTATTTGATATGCACAGAGCCGGCTAGGCTATTTCTTTGTTCCTTCAGTTGGCTTTAAACTAGCTGAGGAGCTGATGTGTAACCTCTGAAGCAAAGCAACAGGTCAGTGATTCTCCACTCAGTGACTCCCCAAGTATGTGGTTGAGCTGTGCAGGATGGAGAGCTGTGCTCCACACTGTGGGCTGGGACCAAGCTTCGGGAAAGAGGCTATGACTTCCCAGGGCAAACAGGATTATACATCAGAACAGAAGCCCCAACCCCATACTATTAGATGCTACCTTAGTTGTGTTATATGGGCTCCTCTACCTGCATCTCTTGCTCCTTACCTATGGCAGAGGTGATCTCAGACCTCCTACCTAGCCCAGCTCACAGAGTCAGGTATTTCCTGCCACTCTCCCTGTCAATCATCCCTGAGCCACTCCCCTCAGAGAGAATTACTAAAACTGGGTTGGGCCCTGGGTCATGGCCTTTGTTCTGGTGAACCATCATCATGGCTGGACTTAGGGCTCCTTGGCTCCCCATAACTGTATGTATGCCTTAGTGTCTTTATTCTCACTGTGGGTTGCACTGCAAGTGGTAGACTGGAATTAACTCACTACAAGTCCATGGGATTATGAATATAAATTTTCGTGGACTGCAACAAGGATATAAAGGGGTCTCTGTGAACAACCCCATTTATTTATTGAAGAGTGCCAACATTAAAATTAAGCCTGAACACTAAGGTACAGAAAAGAGCAGCTTGTGTACCTGGCTGGTGTGCTGACAGAGGGCTCTGCATCCCTAAGGTGGCGCCTTTGCTCTAGATTGGCCACTACTGCTGTAAGGTGTACTTTTCCCACTTTTACTTGGCCCAAACTTCCTTTGTAGAATCTGTTTATTTTCCTACTTTGTTGTTGTTGCTGTTGTTTTAAAACAGGGTCTCGGGGCTGGGGATTTAGCTCAGCGGCATAAGTGCCTGCCTTGCAAGCAGGCAGTCGTGAGTTCGACCCCTGGTACCGGTAAAAATGAAAAAGACAAAAAAAAAAAAAAAAAAAGAAAGAAAGCCAGCCTAGGCAACACAGTGAGCTCAAGACTGACCTGAATTACATAGTGAGACGCTGTCTTAAAAAAAAAAAAAAAAAAAAGTGGGGGGCAGGGATGTAGCTCAGCAGCATAAGTTCCTCCCTGGCAAGTATGAGGTCCTGAGTTCGATTCCTAGTAAGAAAAAAAAAATAAAAGAAACTAGGAATTCATTTTACCTCAAGAATTTCATTTACCTGGTTACATTTCCCTAGTTTATTCATTCAGTGGGTATCTATTAAATAAGTTTTTTTTTTTTTGTCTTTTTGAGACAGAGTTTCACTATGCAATCCATGCTGACCTTGATAGCCCAGGCTGGCCTCAGACTCAGCAATTTCCTACTTCAGCCGCTCAAGTGCTGTGATTACAGTTGTGTGCCACCATGCCCAGCTATTTTTTTTTTTAATTGGTACCGGGGATTGAACTCAGGACCACCTGCTTGCAAGGCAGGTGCTTATGCCGCTGAGCTAAATCCCCAGCCCCTTCCATACCCAGCTATTATGCATTTTTTAAACGTACCAGGCCTTGCTCAAAAACTGAATTATAGAAAAGATAAACAATAAAACAAAAGATATCTTTTTGCAATAGGGTCTTGCTATGTAGTTCAGGCTGGTCTTGAACTTGTGGTGATCGTCCTAAGCCTCCCAAGTGCTGGGACTCTAGGCATGTGCCACCATCCCTGTCTTGCAGGGAGGTTTCTTTCTTTTTTTTTTTTTTTTTTGTCTTTTTATCGGTACCGGGGATCGAACTCACGACCGCCTGCTTGCAAGGCAGGTGCTTACGCCGCTGAG